GATTTTAGGCGCTTCATTCCGATCAAATCCGCTGGGACACCCCTTGGCTTCGCTGCTTAATCCAACGAGACACAAGCCCCAGCACCCCCGGGGAGCAAGGGTGCAAAGGGAGCATGACCAGGAGCAGAAAAGACAAAAAAAAAAAAAAAAACCCAAAATCAGAACTAGGGAAGCTGAAACCAAGCCCAAGCTGGTTGCGGTCTCAGAACTGGGATCAACTGTTTCCGTGCTGCGGATTGATTGCCACAAAGCCACTGCGGTGGAAAAGCCACCTGCATGTTTACATGAACAGCGGCTCCCCCCGGCCCCAGAAAGCTCGGAGAAATGGGAATCCTCAGAAAATAAGCAGGGTCTGGGCTTCTGGCAGGGTCACACTGGGGACAGTTCCGGTCAGAACTGATAAGAGACCCTCCAAGCTCAACCCAACAACAAAATGTAACAAACCGGGAGGGAGAAAAAGGTAAGAGGAAGACAAATGCTCAGGAGCGGACAAAATAAAAGGTGTCAGTCCATGACAAAATAGAAAAAAAAAAACCCCAAAAACTCAACTAAACAAGCCCCAGATCTGTGTTAGTATCACAGACCCTCACAAGGACGCCGGGATATCGCTGCAGTGGTCGGAACCAGGCACAAGCTTTGCTCACCGGTGCTGCTGGGACGTGCCGGTCCTTCCTGCCGCAGGTGTGTCACTCAGGACGGGCGAAGAAGGTGATGACTGGCCGGAGCCCACAGAGCTGGGACGGAAGGACGTGCTCTTCTTGGCCACTTGCTTTCTCGACTGGGCCAGCTGACTGTCGGAGCACCTGCAGAAGGGAAGAAGGGAGGAGATTGGCAAGATGCGCACGCTCACCCAAGGGGCAGGATTCAGACGGACGGGGCCGTCAAAACCACGCTCCCCCATGGAGTCAGCAGCAGTGCCCCAGCCGAGCGAATCCCAGCAGGTTTTTTTCCTAAAGAGTGTGGAAATCAGCCCATCTGTGCTCCAGCCATCCCGCAACAACCCCAACCAAAGTGCAGAACTCGGAAAAGTGACTTCCAGGATTTATGTGGAAGTGAGGCGTGAGGGTGAGAGGGAGGAGGATGTCCGAGGCCTTCGGTTCAGGAAGGTGGACAAACCAGCACACGAAGACACCCCTAAAACACCAGAAACAAGAGTTTGCAGAGGCTCTGGCAGTGCTAGAGCACGGAGCAGCGGGAGGAACGAGAACCACAGAGGACTCTCTTGTCCATACCAAGGAAGAAGATTGTGCAGGGGAATGTAATAACACTGCTGACAAAAGGGCCACGAGGGGCTCCCAAAACCTCCGCAGCCCGACGCACGACAACAGGGAGGCTGGAGGCAGCTGGAAGGCACTATCCTCACATTCCGAGAAAACAACAGCGGAGGTTTCCAATCTATTTACAGCAATTAAATAGAAAAACACTCCAAAGCAGCGGCTGGTTTTCTCCCAAGTGGAAGAACACTGTTATCAGGGCAGAAAGGGAGGGGACAGCGAGAGCAGGAGGGGGTGACTGTTCCTGCAAACATCTGCCTTAAAAGCAAGGTGTTCATATCAAAATTCAAAAGCAAGAGGGAAGAAACCTTCCCTCAAGGGGCTTTAAACGGTCAGAACTGGCTGACAGCAGCTCCCTGGCACCGCAGAAGAACCTGAAACTGAGACTAGAGAGAAGAGAAGCAGGGAAGAGAAGCGAGCCTTCCTCAGCGCAAAGAAAACACCAGAGCGAAGAAACCGTTCTCCCAGTTTTAATAATCTAAAAGCAATGTGTTTTTCACCCAACAGCATCCCTCGGGACAGCGAGGACACGGCTATAGCACGCTGCCCTGCCTACAGTCACTGGTAAAAACCCGCCGCATTTAAGCAGTTCGCTGTTTAACGGCAGGGAACCAGCTGTAGTGTCTGCTTGTATCAGACCTGAAAACACGATCCTAAAGTCAAAGCTGCTGTGGGGAGAGGGGGAAAAAAAAAAAAAAAAAAAAAAAAAAAAGTGTTTCTTGGAGCCACTGCAAGGGTGGTGAAATGGAAAAGGAGAGATTCGGCAGCCAAGGAGGCTGCGGGCTGGCTGATTGCCACAGTCCAACTTTATCATCTTCACGCTGAGTCACTGCACATCCTTCCCGCACCCTCCACAGCTCGGGGTGCCCGGTGTCGGGGCAACAGCCCGGCTCTTCCGCTGCCCACTTTTTTTGCGACGGCGGAGGAGCCAGCGCTGCGTTCCTCACGCTGGAGCAGAGCGCCTTCAGCATCGGCCTCTCTTCTGGGTTATGTAGGAGACGAGGAATGAGGCTGTCGTGGGTTTGATTCTCAAATCTTGGTCAAACTGGCACAGGAGGAGCATCTCCCAGTCAGCCCCCACATCCAGGGTCACATCGCACTGGGGCTCGGAGAGGAACCCCCCTCGAAACCAGAGGCTGGGGCCAGAAGAGTTTCTTTGATGCCACCACAACTAGAGAGCATCCGGAAAAAAAAGGTTGACGTGCTGCACGGGTTCCTGACAGCTGGGACATCTCCTCTTTCCATTTGCTGATGCAGCAGGGCACAGTCACAGCAGAAGACGTGCTGGCAGGGGACCAGGCGGCCAGAAATTCGGATAGGAAATCCACAGTGGTTACAAAAATGAAGCGAGACAGCATCTCTCTGCCCTAGAAAGTTATAAGAGTCCCAGAGCACGCGCTCAGGTACCCTGGTGTTCTCCGACACGCTCCCTTCATCACAAAGCCGAGCTCCTCCTTCATCCAGGCCTCCTTCAGCACTGGCCTGCACCTCCGAGAACGTCCCGCTTGGGCCCCCGGCGTCAGGAGGCACGTGTGTGACTTGGCCGTGGCTTAGCTTTATCGGGTTTGGTCCGTGACCATCGAGATCAAGCACTGATCCCGAGTTCTCAGGGCCTCGTAAGTCATCGAGGTCTGCGAGCAGGTCAGTCCCGGTGGAGGAATACAAGGCAGCCGGGGGCCAGGGCCTGGATCGTGACACGAGGGAGCAATTCAGATTTTCAGAAGAGAAGGAGCAAACGTTCTAACTTGGAAATACATCAAGTGTGAAGCTTTAAGAACAGGGCATTCGGCTCAGGGGGTGCTGGCTGTCAGCTCTCCCGCCCCCAGTGACTCGCCCAGCCGCCTCTATCTACAGTTTCCCCCAGAAACGCGACTAAAACCGATCTGTCTAACCAAGAAACGAGCCCCATCACGGAGGAAACCTGCACCTGGGGATTCCTCTACACGGCAAGGGCGGTGCCTGCAAGAGCTGAGCGCTGGAGACGCAACGCAAGAGGAGGGAGCGGTGGAAGCAGAGAACGGACTCGAGTACTTACTCCATCTCGGCAGGCTGCGGAGAAACGGAGCGTGTGGCCAGCGAGGCCGCCTGCATCTGCTCGAGAGGTTTGTACTGGGTGCCAGTTCCCGTTAAATCTTGCGTGTATTGTACCACGGGCCCTTTGCTCCTCACAGCACCTGGTGGGGAAGGCGAAAAAGCAAAATATCAACACAAAAAGTCTTTGCCATCAACCAAAGTTTATTGCAGTGGCCAGAAAATATTGGTTGAGTTCCCCCAGGCCACCAAAACGGAGGCATCTGCAACTAACAGCAGGTCACTGGCTGAGCTCTGAGTCGCAGCCGGTCACCCTGCGCAGATTCTGGGCACTTCACACATCTGCAGTCTGGTTTTGTGGCGTTTTTACACCAGGAGGAAAAGCCCTCTGTAAATCTTAAACCTCCAGGAGTTCTGCTACAAAACCCCCACCATAACCAAACAAAAACGAAAAGAACACCCCTCAACCCACAACACATTAGTTCAAATTCCAGGATAAAAAATAAAGATGTCGCATACCAACATTGGGACGAGTCCTTGCTTGTCCACTTTGTTTCTTTTCTTGGGTGGAGGCCGTGGAAGTTTTCATGCTGAACATGGGCTCGAGGCGCGTGGAACCCCGGTAAATCCACTCGCAGCGTTTGTCGTCCTGCGGCGAGGAGAAGGCAACACTCGCAGCACCTACGGCAAGAGCTCCCAGAGGTACAACACGGGCTTGGGAGCCAGCAGCGTGCCTTTACCGCGAGCAGAATCGAACGGAAAGGAGGCAAAGCGTTGACCTAAAGGCTCGTGAAAGACCATGCAGCCACGAGAGGACGGAGATGGTAATTCATCATATTACGCTGAACACAAATTAAATCTACAAAGAGGCCCAAAGACCCCAAACTTCAAATTCTGTTCTGTTCTCAGCCCAACAACTGACTAACGAGGCGCCGCTGGAGAAACCAGACGCCCTCAGGAGACAAGTGAACTCTTCGGCACAAACCGAACCTGCTCGAGGACAGGGAGGTTAATTGGCAAGTGCACGCCGCTTTCCCCAGCCCCCGCGGCGATGCGGTTATCTAGGCAGGAAGGGAGCCAAGCTGGCACGGAGAGTACGTCTGCTCCCTTTCTGCAACTTGTAGATTTTGAGCAAGGAGAATATCGCAGGTTCTGCTCAGTTTTTCTCCTGCTTCTCAAACCAGCGCTGGTGTTTGGACAGAGGACACGGCCAGGTGTTTACACCCAGAAAGGGATCAGGACAGAACACCTGCAGACGATGGATTTTGTTTCTTATTCATCCACCACTTTAAAGTTCTACATGCAAAATGCTTTAAAAGGCTTTTAAAAGTGCAAACGAGCCCCACCTTCACACCAGCGCACCGCAGAAACTGGCGGTTAACCTACTCAGCAAAATACCTGCTGGTGCCAGGACCCTGGCTGACCTCAGCGAGGAAACTGGACTGGATCAGCCACCCTCCCGGCTCGAATTTACACCCATCTTTAACGGGAGAAGGGAACTTCCCCTACCAGGAAGAGGATTTTGACCAGACTGCCGTCCACTTCTTCCACCCTGGATTTCCACCAGGTGCCTTCCCACTCCGTTTTGATCAGCTGGCCGTTCTTCAGCAGCACCATGGGGCGGTTGGGGTAGGCTGTGATGTACTCCTCGATGAAATCCCGACAGGAAACATCTTCGATGTCTTCCCAGGTCTTTTTCACTGCTCAGGATGGACAGGAGAAAGAGAAGAGGAGGAAAGACTCTTACAAAGAGAATCTTTAATTATTTTTTTAAAAAGATCCCAGGTGGATCTTTACATAAGAACAACCAAGCAGTATCCAGCCACGATAACGCACCCAGAGCGCAAGGAGTCGCCGCACACTCACTCTACTGGTATTAAAACACTATTTCCTCCAGCTTCACACGCAAAGCAAACACCCACAGGCGCAGGACCAGAGGGGACGTGCAGCCTGTCCCCTGTCCTTTGAGCCCAGGCTCCTCCACACCCCCCAAGGCTCTGGGAACAACACTGGCGTGGGGACGCAGGAGGGGCAGAGCGCACTCACGTGGCCTGCAGATGGGGTACAGCTCCCACTCCTTGACGTACGAAGCGTAGCCGTCATCAAAGAAGATCAGGAATCTGGAGAACAGCAAAGAGAACAAGCGTTGGAAGTCAGAATTAGGAACGCAGCTGAATAAAACGCAGCTCCGCATCATGTAACGAGAGTAGAGCCCCTCTCCTCGTCCTCCTGCCAGCCCCAAAGGCCCTCAGACCGGACAGGACAGACACACAGAGAACAAAGCGATCATTTCTGCCCGGAGACGATGAGCTCTACAGTACTGCTGCTTCCCTCAGTTCTTTCGGAGCAGCTCTCCCCCATCCCCGACCTATCCCTGCGCTCCCACAGCCCACAGAGAGGCTGCCCGAAGGCTTCCCAGCGGCACCCCACATCCCCTCAGCTCCAGGTTCCCACGGTGCTTCTGCCACAGGAGCAGAAAAGAGAAAAGACAGCTCATCTCCTCCTAAACTCCGAAAGAAGAGATTTTTGGAGCCTTTGGGACAGAGCAGCAGTAGAGGCTCCACGTGGTGACTCGAACAGCACGGGGAGAGCCAGGGGACACCCCCAGGGCTGCACCCACAGGCAGGAGACGAGTACGGAGGCGTCCCCAGCGCCCACGGGGGAGCAGGAGCTGGGAACACGGCACCCACGAGGCTGGATACAGCACCCACGGGCCTCTAAATAATAACTTCAGGACACGGAGCCACACAAAGGTTATGTTAGGGCCAGCCTAGCCAGGAGGAGGAAATCTGCGCGATGACTAACAAGCGCAGTTCATTTTCAGTTATTAAACACCTATCAGATAGAACCTGACACAATTAGGCGTTTCCGGCAGATCCACAGCTGAAACAGGGTGAGGATATCCTTTGTGAATCCTCTCAGAAGGACCACAAGCCTCAACCGCAACGTCGAAGGAGCCCTGCCCCTGAAAAAGCCGCTTTGGAGCTGCTGTTTCTTCTCCCCAAGTGCTTTGGCAACGACGCTGGCGCTCAGCGCTCGTAGGGCTCTAATTTCCTACCGCTGGGTTTTACGCCTTGAGTGGTGCAGACTGACATTTGTGTGATAATTGGAATGAATTACCAGATATAATTTCTGACTCAGGGCCATGAGTAACAGAATAGAAGCTCCACCCAGAGCTTTCAGAGATAAGACCGAGGAAACAACCTTCAGAGCTCCGCCCCTGGAAAGGGCTGAAAAGAATTTAGCTCCCACAATAGCAAATAAACAAATACACTTTTTTCTTTTTTTTCCTAAAAAACAAAAAAAAAAAACTAAAAAAGAAAGAGAGCACAAGCGGTACGTGACTGTGGAGGGGAATTCATACCTGTCTTTATTCTTCACGTTTGGGGTTTCCGCCACGATGCCAGCATACAGCCAGACCTGATTCCCGTCTTTGTATTTGGCCACAACCCTGCTGCCAACGTAGTGTTTCTCAGGCGAGGGGTGATAGTCGTAAGCGATGTGATTGCCAGAAAGCAAACTCTTCCCTTTATTATCAAATTTCACTTTGTACTTCTTTCCTGCGCCTGGAAGACATTTCAACACAGTGAGATAAATAAAAGCCAAGTGATCTCACCCCCAAGAAGCCCAGCACCCCACACCATTCTGATCCAAGTTCCCAACTGCTCTGAAAGCCTTTCAGAAACTAATTTGTAAAGTAAAATATTGCAGTGGAGACGTGTTGCTTTCACGACTCGTTCCAGGTGGCGTGAGGTGCCCTGACACGGGAGGGGACCTGCTCCAGGGTGGACCAACGTCTCCCACCCAAAGCTCAGGCACGCGCAGGACGTACCGACCGTCTGGATGGCAATCAGAGTTCCTTTGTGCCACGTCTTGGTTCTCTTCTTGCCCAGGATCCTCATGCCGACGTTCAGATCACCGTCGTTGCTGAGATCGCTCCCAGGCACTGCGGGGCCAACGGGCTGGGGAGCGCCCAGAATTTCCTGAGGGGTCTGTGCATCTACCCCAGGAACAACACCAGAAGATGAGTCAGAAATTGCTCAAAGTCCCCTCTCGGATGCACACAAGTGGAAGAACATCTGTCGGACCCGAGACGGGAAGCGTTCTGGCTTTCTTTGCCCTCCCTCAGCCCAAGTGCCTCAATTTTACTGGATGGAGTACTCAGCGAGCGAGGTTTAAACATCATTAGAAAGCTTTCACGTTACGGAAACTGCACCACTAGTATTTCCTTTCGGAATGGGCTTGAAGATAAATAGGAATTTGGAAACAATCTATCCCCTAACGGGTCTTTCCAGTGGGGAAAGAGAACCGTTTTCTTTTTCAGATAGAAACCCCAGCGGCGTAAGAAGCAGACAGGACCAGGTTTAGGGCACACGCGGGTGCAGCCCACGCCTGTCAGCCCCAGGAAGCTCTCCCATGCTGACCTTTTTGTGCATCCTGAGCGTTTGTTCTCTTGTTCACGGCATCCATAAATTTCTGAACATCCTGAGCAGACTTTCTCATTGCAGCCATGGCTTCCCGCAGCTGAAGGGAAGGAAAGAGAAAGAAAATATGAAGAACCTTTTCTTTTTTTTTTTGCACCAAGTACAATGATGTTCCACTGCAGAAGCACGCTGCAGTCAGCTTTTCCAACTCACCAGAGTCTGATCCTTTGCGACTCTGGAGCTAGTACTGCCTGCATCGAAAGAGAAAAAAAGTGGTTTAAACTATCTTGGGGAGGAAAAAATCCATCCTACTTAAGTCACCGAAAGAAGAAGGGACAGAGAAGTCTGTCGCTGACAAAAATCCCACTCGAGCAAGGCTTTTACTACGCCATCCTTTCTAGATGCACAACGTGCCGCAAGGGCAGCGTCCCCAGAGCAGGGGCAGTGATCGATGGGGACAACAGTCAGGCGGGAAAAGGGAAAAGTCCCAGTTTGGGACTCCAGGAACCATGGAATAGTCACAGGTCATGGCAGAGCATGCAAGCTGTGATGTTCCTCACGAGCTAACGGCATTTCCCACCTCACCCTCTCCCAGCCACCTTTACAATACCCTCATTCTGATCCCCCTCGTTCCCACCCTCCTTCTGGACACGCTCAGGTCTCCATCCCTCCCCTCAGCCCCCTGCGGCACAATGAGACACTGAACTGTTCTTCCAGCCCGAATCGATGCTCATCACGTCATCGTCATCATCCAGGATCTCGATCACTTCCATGGGCTTGGCAGCCGAGTCCTCGTCCTCAGAGCTGCTCTCACGATACTGGAGGCCCAGCTTGGAGTAGAGATCCTTCACCAGTATCTCGCATTTATCCATGGCTCTGGGGAAAAAAAGAAGGGCAGAGATACGAAAAGACAAGGTGAGCCCAGCTGTATATCCCATAATACCACAGAAACAAATAGAAACCAAACGCTGGGGAACTGCTAATTAAATACAACCATGATGAGGTGAGAGAATTCACATGAAGGATTTGAAGCCACAGCGGAATCGTTTTAATTATCCCTCAAGAACCACAGAGAAACGAACCGAGGTGGAATCACCGGGTCCGTCTGCAGCGACGGGAAACGGGGACAAAACGATCTCCCCCCTCGCTGCCCCCACACCAACTCTGTCCCACGGCGGCGATTCCAAGTGCACCCACCTCGAAGCGTCATCGCAGAGCTGGTCCACGCGAGCCACCTCTTCTTCCTTCTGCTTCACGCACTTCTCCAGCTCCTCCAGCTGCTGCTTCCTCTGCTTCACCCACTCGAACTTCTCCAGCTCTTTGTCGATGATGTCCTGGAGCTCCTCCATGGAGATTCCCAGCTCCTCCATCACTTCTTGCTGCAGCTCTTTGATCTCCTGGGAATCCATTGCTGCTGCACCTGACGCCACAAAGAGGCGAGAAAACGCCGGTGAAACCCTGCGTGCGAGGGGCCACAGTGCTCTCAACAGCATCGGCTCTGCTTCTTGAAAGCTACTCAGGAAATAAATGTTATAATTTTTGTTAAGATAACGCCACGCAGAGCCAAAAATAACCGGAATGCAAGCACCCTGCGGGGTCGGAGGCTCCCAGGACAGCCGGGGATTCCAGACATCCCCTCCGATCTCCGCACAGCCCCTCCAACCCCACAGCCTGACGCTTCGCGACCTCGGAGCCCTCTCCTCCGCAAAACCCGCGTTTTCACCCCTCTGCTTGTGCTAGGAGGAGAAGCACCCCCCCGCCTCTCCCAGTCTGCCCCCCAGCAGCCCCCGTCCTCCCCAGCCCGTACATTACACCATCCCACTAGCTCCCCGTCCTGCAGCTCCCACGTCT